TCTGTCTATCTATCAATCTATCTATCTACAAGCAGCTACAAGCATACAGTGTAACTCTCTATCTTTTTAAATACCTACAGAAACGTATTGAGAGTTTAACTATGTGGGTCTTCATGTCTCTACAGGCAACTAGGGAGAGAGTTTGCATACAGCATACAACTATATATCTATTTATGTAGCTACAGCAAGCTAGGGAGAGTGTTACCGTGTAACACCATCACTATCTATGTATCTAGAGAGAGCTAGGGAGAGAGTCTGATGACAGTGAAACAATGTATCCATTTATAGATCTCTCATGAGCTCGCCATTGGATAGAGACTCATCAATAACCAGTGTGATACAGATGAAACAACCTTCCTCACAACGAATGAGGGTGACTTATTTTTCTTTCTTTAAACTTTCATGTATTGAGGGTGACTTTCTGAAACACTTATTGCAGAAGATCAAAGAATGCAGCCTTCTGTATGGGTTGCATCTTAAAGTCAAGAAAACCAGGATTCTTTGCACTGAACCAATAGTATTGTGAAAGATGGAGTAGAGATTGAAACTGTCAACAACGGCATCTTATTTGGATCCACAATTAACACCCTGGGTAACAGCAGTGAGGAAATGAGGAGATGCATTTCACTGGGAAAGTCTCCAAATTATTGTTATTGTTGTTGTTAAGTGCTATCAAGTCGTAAACGACTCATAGCAACCCTATGAACAAAAGACCTGAGCACTGCTATAATTTTCATCATTTCTCCAAGTTCATAGGGTTTCCAGATGCAAACTGTTTTGGAAGTGGATGCCAGTCCTGCTTCCAAGCGTGTTTTAATCAGGGGGGCTCCACCCAACACTGTCCACCATGGGTGACCATTCTCACATTTGACACACATCAGTGTCCCCGTGTTCAGCTTTACAGCAACCACGAGGGATCTCTGTACGGCAATGCACAGACCAGTGCTATATGACCTAGAAGAATGTTCCACCGAACACAATTAAAACCAGGCCTGAGGGCTGCAGATTAAAATCACTCACCTTTGCTTTGGTTGCATCACTTCCTATCCACTAGGCCCACAGAACTCTATGACTCACAGCAATTCTTGCAGGAGAAATGTCAGATGCATTGCACTGAGAAAGTCTGCGCTTAGGAACTTCTCCAAATCGCTGAGGAGTAATGATGGCAGTTTGAGGACTAAGGTGTATCTGATTCAGGCCACTGCTGTCTTTCTGGTCAGTTGCTGTGCATCTGAGAGCTGGACAATGAATAAAGATGACAGAAGAATGGATGGCTTAAAGCTGTGGTGTTGGACAAGAGCACTGGACATCCCATGGATGGACAAAAGGACAAATATGTCTTGGAGAGGGTACAACCGGAGTGGTCTTTGGAAGCAAGAGTAATGAGGCTTTGCCTCATGTACTTTGGACATGTTGCTAGGAAGGGCTATTTCTTGGAGGTGGACATGATGCTTGGAAGGGTGTGGAAGGTCAGCAAAGGAGAGGAAGCCCCTCGACCAGGGGGATGGACGCAGTGACTGCTGCAATGGGCTCTTGTGTGTCAGGAAGTGTGAGGATGGCCCAGGATAGAACAGGATTCAGATCTTTTGTTTAAAGAGTCACTTTGCGTCATGCTGGACTTGACTGCACCCACCTATGAACTAAGCAAAGGGTTTTAATACAGGTAACTATGGAGCTATTTATGTATCTGTAGAGAGCTGGGGGGACAGCTTCTGTACAATGTAACTATGTATCTTTCCATGTATTTGTAGGGAGTAGGGAGAGATTTCGAGGAAAGTATAACAATGTATATATTTTTTGAAATCTAGGGAGCTACAATGACCTAATGAATAAAAAAGTCATAGTGTGAAGACCAAAGTAAGTGGTTTGAAGCCACCAACTTCTAGGAGTGAGTAAGACAGAGACCATCTCCTCCCATGTATTTTAAAGTGTCTGAAAACTTGCTCCAGCAACAGCAATTTTATTTTATTTTAGTTTCATTTATTTTAGATTATTTATTTTATTTTATTT